TCAAATCTATTTTTTTGATAAAGTTTTTAAACAAAATTGCAAAAAAATATCAAAAAACAGTTAATTTGTTAGTTTCGGAGAAATTTTAGAATACTATGCAAGAATGACTCAATATCGGTGATTCAATGAGCATTTATCATCCTATAATACCTTTTATCATTAAAAATAAAGATTACTTCATGTGAATTGTATCTGCGGCAAATAGCATTTAATTCCAAGGAAAAGAATTACTAATTTGAATATAACGCATTTTCAATTTCCGTACATTTATCTTGTTTGACGTTTACATATAATCTAAAAGAAAAATCTCTTTGAATTATATGATGTTGTTTGTCGCTTCATCGATATATGCGGCGACGCATTTAAAGATCCTATCATCAAGAATGATGATTGAGCTTTATAAGCCGGTATTAGAATGTGGAAATGAATAAACATCTTCGACTTATCTTTAACGCAACAATTAGAAAACGCTTTTCGTCAGGGTCAATTACTTTATTTATTCAAATCTTTCAATATATATATAAAGCTCAATACAAATAGGATTTCTATGTCGATAAAACGCCAAAAAAATGTTTAAATACAAAATTATGTATACTTGTTATTTGTAAAATAATAAATTTTTAAAATGTTCTATAGATTAATCCACTCTCCGACGAAGAAAAAGAAGAGTTGAAAAAACTGGCGATCGAGGTGGAAAAAGAAGAGACTAAACCGAATGAATTCTACGCTCCAAATCCCAGACATTCTGGATCATTCAAGAATGCACCCAATCAATATAGAATGCACAATTTTATCGCGCCAATGAAAGTGCAAGTTCCATTCGACGGAACTTTGGCAGATCTGCCAAAAATTTCTCAAAACAATGACTTTTCACAATTAGGTTACGATATCGCTACACCCGAAGCGGAGAAAGAGGAATTGCCAATTAAAGGGCAAGGTCCAGCTACAATTTGGTCTAATGTAAATAAATTATTGCCTATCGATTTGCCAAACGAAAATGAAACCAATAAAGATTTTACATCTAAAATTGAAAAAATTCAAAAGAAATCACTCGATGTGAAGATAGATCTGCTAGAAGTACCTCGAGATACAGATTGTTCGAAATCTTTGGATGAACACAATGTCACTGCAATTAATAAAAAGGAATCGCCTTTTAAGATACTAAATCCAACAAAAATTTTGTCAAATGTAGATAAAATCTCACCCATTAATTTTCCAAATGAAAATGAAATGAAAGACTTTACACAGCCTACCGACGAAAATGCAATGGATTAGGTGTTTAAAACTTTTTAAGCTCAATTTTTTTATAATTTATTTGTTACAATAATATCGGATATTCTTCTAATCATTTACATTTTTTTCCAATCATAGATTCTTTATCTATATCTTAATCATAGATTTCTTTAAAGAAATCTCAAGATAAAATATCTTTCTTGTGTAAACTTCACGAGAAAGCAATGTTTTCACATTTGTCTCGCTAATTTTCGATATTTAAGAGTAATTAAAATAATTTTTCTAAAAATTATTTCGCGAAGTTATTTTTGCACTTTAATTAAATCTATTACAAAATTCATTACACGGAAATAATTTTGACATATCTACGTATCTATTTATAATCGAAGAAAAGTGTAACTGATTGTAGATATCCTGTATGCTAAAATGATAAGCGTCAAGCATAAGCTACTTGCGTGAAAGGGAAATTTTTATAATTTTAGTTTGTATTATTTATGATAAAACTTCTTTATGCTATCATAAATACTTCATTATACTATGGATTTTACAGACTTTTAAATAGCTGTTACTGCTCCCGAGTTTGCACATTGTAAATTATGTTAATGACAAAACTATTGTGTAAAATTATTTTAAAATGTCTTTAATAAAATCGCTGTTGCAGAATTATTCACATTAGTGAATAAAAATATACATATATATTGAATTTTCCTCTTATATTCACTATATCCACCTACTATTTGTGTAAATATACAATTAGACAATAGCGTATATAAATAATATCGCAAGTAATATTAATTGAAACTAAATAAATCATTGAGAAAATAATACGCTATAATCAAATTTTATGCGACATAAAATATATACGATAATTTCCTTTACATTCTCTACGTACTTACTTTAGGCTACGGTCCACTTGACGCTACGAAAACTTCAGAGCATTTTTTTGATTGGTCAGTTAATAAAATTCTTGGTCAATCAAAAGTTTCGAAGCAATTGTCGCGTTAAGTAAACCGCATCCCTAATTCATCTATTTAACAATTTTATATATTGCTACTGATTTTTAATCGTGTAAAACAGACGGACACATTCACTCAATATTTTTATTGTCAACTATTTGTTACTATACGTATTAAAATAATGCTTTATTAATTACGTATATCGTAGTTCTCATGTTCGGTTTTAAAATTAAAATAGCCGGAATATTGAATCGATTACTTGCAGGAATGATAGGGTCGTTTAATTTATGAAGAGTATCGCCGTCGATGTTAACAACACACTACTCCTATGATCTTGAAAAAAATCTCTTACTCGAAAAAATAAACATTTTGCCCAAGATGTGCATACGAAAGAATATTCTCCTTCATCTTCGATATATATAAACGTCCCGTAGTTCGACAGTGAAATTTATCTTGTCCGATTCCGTTGCTTGATGAATTGTCAGAAATTTCACTGGAAGATAGTTTCGAAGACAGTTCTGTATCGACGTAAGACGTGTCGGTTCCATTAATATCCTTTATATAATATCCATTATAAATGGATCCATTATAAATGGTTTGCCAAATGTCTGACTGAAGCGGGATCCTTTTCAAATGATTGAACCTTAGCAATCTTTGATAAAGCATCGATCAAATAATCCATTCTCCTTGAAAACATTCCTTCATCTTCCTGATGACGCTTTGTCTCTTGATGACTGAAGAAGATTGGAATTTTCTGAGTTTCCATCGACGCTTCAAAATCATTAAATTTAAATAATGAATTAGATCCTGTGTTTGAAAGATTAATATCTTTCGCATCAGCATCTGTTCCTTTATTTTCCGCATCAATACTATTCACAGATGACCGATCGCTATTTATCAGAATAAAATCCGTCAACAGCAGGAAAATCATTAACCAGCTTATTGACATTGTTCTACTAATTGTAAGCTAACGGAATTTTCTTTGAGTGCGGCACGTGTGAATTAGTCTTCCTCGTTAGAAAGTGGCGCGAACAAGCACGCATCTGTGACGATTGCGGTTGTGTCGCGGAAGATACTGACGGAAAAAATTAAGCTCGCGTGAACGCACGAACGAACGAGATTCCTGGAAAACGACAAATTGGACTGTTATGTTCCACACCTTAACTCCCTGTGCATTGACCCTATCTCCTCTTCGAACGTCGCTTCCCACGAAATCTTTTTGTTCAAAAATATTAGAACACATTCAATTATTAATTTAAAATTATTAATTTATATTAAAGCTCTTGATAATGATCATTTATTAAGCAAAAAAATTATTCGTTAATTTTATAAGAATTGCACGAGAAGAAAAAATTTGTATTGACCGCTAATCCTATGCCATAATAGCAAATTCCATTCGCAAATTATTTACAGGTATAACAAATATTTATTCTTTTCTGTACTCGCTAAAACATTATTTGCAACAAATGCAAAATATTTATCAAATAATATGCAAATTTGTTTGTTATAATAAACAGCAAATTCGACAATTAGATGCAAGCCTTTTGCGTTCATCCAAAATCATTTTTCTCCATATGAGAATAAATTAGAGAATCATTATAAATTATTAATAAAAATTAATATATTGTTGATCGATATATTAGTTCAATTTTTGTTATTATTGAATGTTATTGAATTCACTTGTATTTAGAAATATTAAGGCATACAGTTTCAAATTTATCAAATAATGTTTATTTAAATCATTGTAAAAACTATATTATTTTTAAGTTTTAACAATTTTGTACAATTGTTAGAATTTAAAAATGACATAGTTTTTTTTCATTATAAAATTTGTGATTATATTTATCTTTCATTTTTTATCATGATTTATTTTTTCTGATTGTTTGTATATTATAAACGACTATGTAATCGAAAAATAGCTAAATAAAAAATAAAATAAAATCATCACAGATCCAGAAGAAGGTACGTTTCTTCGATTCAAAGAAATATCTTTGAATCAAAGAAACCTTTCTCTGGGAATAGTTTCCACAAAACTAATCAATATGTTAATACATGCATATATAATGTGTTATAACATTAATATTATGATATTATTAATCGATGTTTACTGAATAATAGCGTGTTATACTTTAAGACTAACTGCGTTCTCACAATATATGGTTATCTAAAAGATTAAAGGTTAGCAAGAAATTCGAATGTATTTCATTGATGAATTTCTTGATAATCTTTAATCTTTAGATAATCATATATTTTGAAAACGAGTCTAAGCGTGCTATAAGTGTAGAGTTTCCTATATACTTTGCAAAATAGAGTGAAATATTGCCGTATTTATATTAGGTGTAGTAAAAAGAAATCCATTATTTTTGCATGAAATTGAATTGAAAAATAATGGATTTCTTTTTACTACCTAATATGTTCAGACTCTTACCAAAGAGAAACTTGAGAGTAGACATCCCGACTTTTTCATGTACCAAATCTTGTAGAGTATGTCCACGTTTTTGTGATTCTTTTCTATTACGTGAATTAGACAAAGATGAATAATCAATCATTCGTCTTTAATCATTCGTCCTTGTTTAATCCACATAATAACAGAGAAGAACATAAAAACGTGAACATTACCTTATGAGATTTGGTAGATACATGAAAAAGACCGGGATGTCTACTTTCAGGTTTCTCTCTGCGCTCTTTATTGAAAGATCTCTAGACAAAGCAGATACAGAAATATATTTTATCAGCAGTAGATATTGTTGCACGAAACGTCACGTCGATGAAATATCGACGTATTATCATTTATAAATATAGGACACGTACGTCTTATCAATTTATAACGCATTACCGAATCGTTTGTTGCTTGCAAATGGAAAAAGTAGAAAGTGCATACAAGGACAATGATAAAAATAACTAACTGTATTGCCTGCATAGCGTGAATACACTGAGCGATGTATTCAACTGATTCAACAATTTCCTCACGTGACGAAAGGAGACGCATTTGTTTGACGGCTTTTTATACGAGTGTATCGAAGAGAAAAACTTTCATATGATTTTCTTGTAAATAACGTGATATCGCTTATCGAATTAGTAATATTAATCAGGTAATTCAACGATATTAAAAATTTGAAAAATTCGGTATCAATTTGACAATTGATTAGACAACATGACAGATTTTCTTTTATTTTTCATATAAAATACTTTGTAGTGTGGAAGTAAAATTAATTGCAAAGTTTCCTTAGTAAAAATAATGTTTACAAATTTAAAATTACAGTCGATGGGCACATGTAACATGATATAACCTCAAAATAATAATTAGGAATTGACTGTGTTGATTTTTGTGATAATTAATTGAGTATGTTGATTCTTGTTATAACAGATATATCTATTGACAAACACTATTTATAAATAAGACAACATGGCTGGACAACAACATCCTTTTCTATCTGGGTTTCCCAATGTGCAGCAGTCAGCTATGCGCACACAGTTTGGCGGTGGACAAATGGTTTCTGGTTTGATGGGACCACAGCAAGGGAGTACGTATTTGAAGAATTCTTTCCTATTTGTAATGTTTTCATTTGTTTTCATTCGTATATCGATATGTGTATCTGATTATACTGTATGTAATTTGTACATAATAAGAGAAATAGATATATGTCTATTTTTGTGTCTGTTTACTTTCAATTGATAGTCCTGTTTATTTATATCTCAACGTTAAATAAAAAATTAATAACTGGAATATTACTATGACTTCATCTTCAAAGTTAGAATCTTATACATTTTAACTGATTATCTCTGAGTAAGAATTTTTAATAATTTCAAGTAATTTTGAATTGCAAATTAGATTCTTCAGACATTAAGTATATATTAAGTGTATATCAATTTAACTATTATGAAAACAATAGATTATTTTTAATGAATTCTAATTCGTTTAAAAGCTATATTTAAAAAGTAAAATAGGTTGATTGATTAAAGGATTGGTATCTGTAGAAATATTTGTGAATAATATAATCTTTATAAAATGTCTATAATATCTTGAGAACAAATTATAAACTAGAAATCAATTAATAACTATTGTTTTAGATATGGTCAGCTCTCAACAATTTGGCATGGGAGTTGGAGTTGGAGTAGGTGTTGGTAATGTTGGATCTAATGCCATGGGAATGCCCAATTCCCAACAAGTCTTGGTACAACAGCAACAACAACAACAGTCCATGGCAATGCAACAACAAATGCAGCAGATGCAGCAGCAACAATTACAATTGCAGCAGCAGCAACAAGCTGCGATGGTTCAACAAAATAATCAAACGAATAATCAAGCCACAACACCACAGACTCCAGTACCACCCACACAGCCACCACCGCGACAACAGCAAACTAAGGAATTCAATACTGCTAGTTTATGTAGATTTGGACAAGAGTCTGTACAGGAAATCGTCAGTCGTACTTTAGAGCTTTTTCAAACTCTCAAAGTCCTTCAACCACCCAATGGTTATTTTTTTAACTAAATAGTTACAGTATCATCAAATATAGATTTTTTTTTATACATACATTATATCGAATGTAGGTACTGCACAAGGAGCGAATATGGCGAATGAGAAAAAGAAAAAAGTCTATGAACAATTGGAAATGATCAAAATAATGTTTAAACGTCTAAGATTAATATATGAAAAATGTAACGAGAATTGTCAACTGCAAGGAATGGAATATACGCATATAGAAAGTTTAATTCCATTAAAAGAGGAATGGGATATGAAATCTGATGAGAAAAAGACTTCGGAAGCTTACAGACTTAGTTGTGAGGAGAGAAAAGAAATTATGGAGGTGAGGCGAGAATAAGATTATATTATCTACATTAATACATAATTTTTATATCAAAATATCGATAAGAAATGGAGTCTATTTCTTTTTCAGCAAGTGATATTAAAGAATAGGCATATTAAAGAAATAATCGATCACCTAAGACGCATTATTTCGGAAATAAACACAATGTTAAATATGCGTCGATCTTAGGTTACCAAATAATATAAATAGAAAATTATGTTTATACATATTATTTTAAGAAACACATTAAAAATATAAATTTCTTTTTATAACATGTTTGACATTGTAATTTTCCTGCTTGTCACACCCTTCTGCCTTTCATTGATCGATATCAATGTCCATGTCTATGTCTAAACAAATTATGTCACTACTTCAAAGGATAACTTCCGATATCGTTCCCAGTGGTGTCTCCAAGTTTTTCACGAAAACTTTAGAGCATTTCACATCGCAACCTCTGAATTTGCCTGATATGTATGTGTTGTAAATGAAATTTTATTGATTTATCTACAAATATACCGATATAGTCGAGCATGATGAACACTAAATGATGTAAATAATTCGAGAAATTATTTACATCAACGTGAATAAACGATAGTTAATATTTTCTTTCCTTAATATTATCTTATCGCAAGTATTTCCTGCACAAATAATAATACTTCAAATTTTATTATTAAGTATTGTAAAATGAAACGGATTTGCTTTGATTAGCACAATATGATTTTAAGAAAAAGAAATATACTATAAAATTATTTCAGTATCTCCATGCACTTTACCGACAGAAATCGATTCGATTCTTTTGAGTTTGATTGAGAGGAAATAAAGATTAAACACGAACTTTCTTACCGATAGTGCCGACAGTAATGACACGCAGAAAATGTTCGCGTAGAAACGTACGGGCTTTTTATTTTTCCGAAGTTGCATATGCCAAATTGGATTCATTATATTCGAATTATTTTCGTCGAGTTCATTCATTTTTTGTCCAGGAAACGTTCCGTCTCAAGATTGATGCTATCAGACGTAATATCTCATGGCGGAATCAACAAGATCGCATGCACATCGAAGAGAATATTGGCGCTTTATTTGAATTCTGACAAAGTATTACCAGTCAATAGTTATAATGGTGTAATACCAGATAAACTATCCAACATTGAATTAAAGTTTAACGTAAGTCCACTATTGCATCAATATTATAAATATTGGGAACAATAAAAAAACATGAAAGTGAAGCAAAGATGAGCGTAATATATAAAATGTATGATGTCGGCTTATTGAAAGTAATTGTGAAAATAATCGTTAAAGAATTTCTAATGTTTTATATCAATAATTGAAATATGTAACAATTGATTTAAATAGCTTGATCCTACACTTTGTTTCTATAGAATTTTTTATAAAAAATTTTTAAGTATATAATGCGAAAGAAAAAAAACAGAAATGTTACGTAATGTATTAAACTTTCTGTTTAATACATTATGTAGAATTTACATAATTAGAACAAATAGTTTTAATTTTAATGAAGTTTATTTACTCCGATTTATAAGATCTCTCCGAATATGAAAGTTTTGAAAGTAGTCGAGTACAATGAAATAATCTCGGGTATCCTACATCAATAGCCCACATTCTTCTATGAGAGGCGTAACTGCCACGATCAGGAAGCTTACAATTAGATCGATGCAATTACCATAGTTATAACGATATCTGCTACAAACACACTTTCTCGCAGTCAAACATGAGGGCGACCCGCAGTTTTTTAATTTCGTCGGACAGTCTACGCGATGTCACCTCATTTTCGTTCCGATCACGACGCGGTGACGATGGGTTCCCTCATCATTGTTTTAACCGTCTTCGCTGTATATTGCAGTGGTAAACAACTATTCGACACTCGAGCGATATTTCAATGTCGATTCTGTGGCTACGTCGTATGAATTCATCTCTCCGACTCCAACGACTCTTTTTGTTGCAGCGGTGTATTGTGACACACTTCCGACTAAGGTCGCTAAACCAGAAGATACCGTTCTCCTCGAAAGAAACAATGCTAGTCATGCGACAATTGAGAAGGGAACCTTTTGGAAGAATCTCAGTCTATCGAAACGCAAACCGACGAAAGTGATAGAGTCGAGGAATCTGGATAACATAAACAACGGTATGGATAAAAGGAAAGGGCGATTTTTAAGTAGTTTAGCCTTTCTAACTGGTCTCAGCTTCGGTGAATTAGCCACCGTGGCATCTTCCACTATGAAGAATATCGCTAAGATACCACAAATGCTTAGCATAAATCTAGGTTCTTCCAAAACGTCACCGTACTTCGCCGCCTATTATAGTCAATATCCATATACTCCCTTGTTACCTTATCCGCTCATTTATCCCGGTGCCTTTGGACTCGCGCCGATGATTGACGCCGCGAAACCCCAGACGTCGCAGAACGATTTAACGCCGCAAGTGATAAATCTGTTCGACAATAGACCGAACGATATTGCGGAAAATAACGAAGACTATACAGATGCAGAGACGTCCAACGTGGGCAACGGGGCTGATGATCGCATAAGATTGCGAGCCGAAGCTGATCGAAACGCGGAAGAGAAGGTAAGAATATAATAGATCTCGGCTCGTGCCGCGATGAGCAAATAGAAATTAGAGCGGAAAGCCACGCGACGTTTTATCTTGATGTGCATCTCACTCAACAAAGAGAGTACCGTGCTTTCTTATAAACTCCAACCATTACTCATACCAATTAATTACACGAAAGTATCAATAATATATTTGTTTTTATTAATACTTATTGTTAGAGCAAGAGCATACAACAAAGTGTCGGCCATCATTGTTGTGTTGTTTATGGTTAAACAATTAAAATTGTTCAAATTAATGAAGAGGGCCTCGTATTCAATCAAGGCAAGTCTTTATACCTAACAATACATCGTTATGAAATTTAATGTTGTGATTTTTTAAATTTTCAGTTCACACCGTATCAATTACTTGTCAGAAATATAATTTTAGAATGAAATTGGAATATATGTAATATTACAAATTAATTTAACAAGTAATTTACTATTATTATTACTAAGCATCTTTAAAGCATTGTAAATAATTTCATTTAATTAAGATTATGTTATATACAAAATCTATGTGCGTTACATACAAAAATTCCCGTGGAACTTTCTTTGAACAACAATTGGCCGGCACTTTATCTGTCATGTACTCTTGCTCTTACTGTGTACATTTGTTTAATCTATAACATCCTAAACAAAATTCTAGAGCGAGTTTTAAAGTTTTTGTATTATTTATATCCGATAAATGCCGACACGTATTTTTTGTATTAGGTTTACCGCTGGATCTATTTGTGCGAGAACAGGTCATCTTATCGCGTATGCTCAGATAATAACATAGTGTACGACAGGTGTTCTTGTGACAAATGATTAAGGCTTCATTTGCCTTTCGTAGCTTCCACGCGTGAACGACTAGACGTGTGCGCCTGTAATTTCATTTGGCCCATAATGCATACGTGTCAAGATAACGCGCGCATTAAAGTATTGGTTCTTAAACGGAGCAGTATCGCTTGTATAAAGTCATGCGTGTAGTCGCTAATCTCGTAAAAAATTATTCCTTTACTTCGTTTCTATTTTAAGACGTACAACATAACTTTGTTATAAAACATACAACATAACTTTTTTTATAACTTTGTTATAAAAGATAACATTTTTATAATATTCTAATAACGAAAACAATGCCTTTTTTTTATCAACATAATATTGTGTATTATACTCTGATTCTTTTATAAAAATATATTCATTTATACCTGATTTGTGACTTTGTATATTAATTCATGTTATTAACAAATAATATTAACAAATTCATGCACGGAAAGAATGTAGCTATAAATACAAGTTTAAAAATAACTTTTGTTTGAACCATCAAAAGAATTGTGTAGGACACTTAAACTAATTGTTAGAATAAATTGTTACAGCATTGTCATTAATGTTCTACATAATTATTTTAATGATTCAGTAAAATTATTTTCAGATATATGTATCTAACTACATTTCAGATACTTCAGCAAAATCATTCTTTTCTTAATAAACAAGTATTATTAACAAATTTCACTAGAATACGATACGCGGATGTAAAGAGGGTCAACGGAGACGAGCCAATGTGAAAGAAACAGCCAGAGAGCGTGAATATCTTCACGAGAATGCCGTTGATTTGCGAGCAAGCTCGAATTTTCACCGAGTTCAGAATTCGACGGAAGAACTAGATAATGATACAACATCAGATAAACCTACTATGAGACCAAATACTACTACGACAATTTTACCTGACAATACAACGCATCACCACCATCATCATCATCATCATATCTTCCCGGGATATTATGGTGGGTATCCACAGAATATACACCACGTGGATCTCACAACATCGCATCCTTACAATCAGATCGGTTACAATGCACCGGATGAACATAATTTTTATCAAGACGACAAATATAATGTCTACCAAAGCTTTAATCCATCTCTTTCGGCGCCATTCCCATCCGATCAACCAAACGAATTCGCAAGCACGGATTATAACAGAGTGTATCCTTCTGGATATCCACCATTAAATATCAGTGACGGTTTTATACCTCTAAAATAAATGATATTCTTTACAAAGCTCATTAACGTCTATTATGAAGTAGATCATGTCTAATGAGTTTATAAAAATAAGAATGTATTTTTAATTAAAAATTACTTATACAAAGTTAAAATAATTTTTAAGCTAATTTAGTATACAAATTGATAGTGTGTTTATATATAAGATTGCAATTTATTACGTACCTACTATGCATTATAATTAGTTTTCAAGTTAGTTGTATTAAAATTTCGAAAATTTTTAGAAACGCTTGATATAATTCGTAATTTTGTAATTCTGGTAAAACCGACATATTTTTGTTATAATTTTTAGTTTCTATGTATAATTTTATTTTTGATACATTAGTAAGCATGTTTTTTTCTTATACATTTTTTTTAATTATACAATTTAGGAAAAGGTAATTATTCATGAAATACTTGTGGCATTAATTAACAAAAAACAGAAATGCATATTGTACTGTCAATTATTGAAATATATTGCCTATCAGTTTTATCTAGTTGCATTTTTACTTATAGCATCCTTACCAATTTATATATAAATGTAATTATTACCTTACAATTAGTAGATTTCATATGGTGCATTTGTTTTTTTTTTAATATATAATTTCTTATAAATACTCTAGAGTCTATTTATATGTTATTAATGATTATTTATGATTAGTATACAATTCTTATCTATGGATTTAATTATTGTATGGAAAAATTATTTATAAAGTTAATGAAATACAATCTGGAAAGAAAATAGAAATTGGATAAATAATGTTTTATGCATTTACGTATAAACATTTTGTATCGAATAAAAATTACGGAAAGTTATACGAATAATTAGACATTATTTGTTGTAGTAGGTAGTTTAATTACACTATTGTCCATAACATATTTTTCCATTCTTTTTTAAGTAATTATTTACATTATTACTAGAACACTGAAAAAAGCCTTTGAATAATTATATCAATCTACAAATTTTTAGATCACATCACTGCAGGTCAATTTTGATTCGTAACTGACAACATTATTGAAGACAATTTCAAGACGCGTGTAAAAATAATAACTCTCCACGAGAGAGAGAGAGAGAGAGAGAGAGAGAGAGAGAGAGAGAGAGAGAGAAGTTTGTATTCTCGATAATACAAATTTCTACATATGTGACTTGTTTGAACAATTGTTCATAAAGTTACACAGTTGTTCGAGATTTTGCATGAGCCGATCAATAAAATGATAATCCGTTAATGGTGTTCAAGTGTCGTTGATTGGCGTAAGTAGCACGACACTTGAACACTATTAACGGAACCATCGGAAATATACGGATAATAAATAAATAACTGTTCCGTCGGAGTCTCAACCAATTGGACGTCGTCGTGCGCAAGGAAGAAACCTGTTTTATTTTCGGACGAGTTTGGAGGGCTGGGCTCCTCATCTATTTCGAGAAGGCCGCCAACCGCTGGTATTGTGTCTCTAAAGACGCCGGTACTTTGCAGCTTTCGCGCGTAATTTTTCAGCTGGCAGATTTTTATCTAAATCGCGCATCGACATTCAATTCATGATAAGCAAAGCAAAAATAAAGAATAGAGATACAGAAATACAGAAGAAAATAATATCCTGATGTATTACCTTCATTTTTAAAATGATACAAATATCATTAATAAAAAATATTATCATATTCTAAGTAAAAGGACTATCATATTATAATTAAAGGGATACTATTAAAATTGTGAAATAAAATAATGCATATTCAGAAAAAATGTAGGTTGCTAAAGATGCGATGAAAAAAGTACAGAAAATGTGTGGATACGATATGTAAATGCGTGTACCCGGATATTTAATTATTGTCATCGTTGCGCTTTCGCTTTTAACACACCGGGTCGGGCGGCGAGTAGGGTTTCAACAAGTCGCGCGTGCCTCTGTCTCAAAGTGCGTGTGAAAGATGGGAGTTTTACAGGCGGGTGAGTCAATCGCGAAACTCTAACATGCCGCGATTACAGTAATTTCCCTCGATCGTTACACTCTCGGCGTGACGCGCATGTATACGATACGTCGCTCGCCGATTCCGTAGGTTCGCGGCGCGGTTATGTGGGTGAACCGTGCCAGCATTGCGTGCGCGATTGTGCAATAAACACGATGTAGGAAATGATCAGCACTTCCTTCGCGGAAGTGCTAAGTTTTCTTTAAAAATGACGATGCTACAGGGCGCCACGTGGCCGGCCGATTTAATGCCCATTTCTCTCGGATGTATCATAAATAATTCTGTTTTTCAAAACACATGGCTCTCACGTAATAAGCTTCATTTAGAACGATATCTGTAAAACATTTTCGAACGAATTATCATAGAAATGATTAAGAAAAAAATCTGTTTGCCAGGTGATCCTTTCAACATGTCGTTTCCTCATAAACTTCGCGATTTTACTTGTGTTTTGTAACGTATTTCTTTACACATTTAAGCACGATTGTGATAATTTTAACGATCCGATTTAACGATTGTTCATAATCTTATATCTTTTGCAACGACAAACGCAAGTTTGTCCGCAGTAATTTTTTATTTTTAGATTACAACTGCTATAGAATATACAAAAGTATATCTTTAATTTTCGAGCAAATAATTCTATGGACAGGATGAATATATTGTATACTCTGGAAAAAATGTCTGGCTGGATTAATTAAACTTGTGGTTAAAAATGAACGATTCAAAATTTTCTGGTTAAACGTACTAGAATTCTAATTATAATAGAATTCTAATTAATATAATCAGAATGTTATGGTCCGTCCATTTCCAACTAGACATTTTTCTCAGGCTAAGATTTAGTGTTATTTTCAAGACCGAGATTTTATCGATTGTGTCACATATCTATGAAATCGTACTAGATCGGGTCTCTTTAAATCTAAATATATACCGGGTGTCAGAGTTGAATGCCCTGGGATTTCCGGTTCTTGGCATGGTGTGCACTTCGCTTTTCTCCCTTCACAGTCCTTTTTATTTTTCGTGCAAGCACTTACGCGTCGTCTCTTCGTATCCTCTCCTCATACTCACTACTTTCTGCTACCAGCGATCTCGTTTTTTTTTCCACGCGAAACCCAATAGCCTTGTATCCTCTAGGATACTCCAGGACTATTTCCTGCGAGAATGCGCCGGTTGAGCCGGATGGGAAACCGCAAATGTAGAGCCCCATGGTCCCACCTTTCAGTGATACCGTATACGCAATAGCATATATATTTCACATAGGAAATAGTAGCTTGAACTTTTAAGTAAAAAATTATTCATTCAAATGATATACATTTTAGATACTTAAATAGATTCTTTTGAATATGAACTCTTTTACTAAATATTATTCTCTAAATTCTTTGGAGTAGAATCTCACTCTAAAAGAAAATATAAATAAATATAAATAAAATTCATCTTCAAATTCATTTCACTCTTAACAATTGAACATTCTGCCATTCTTTTTGAAAACTAGAAAAATGTTCTTTAAAGAGATTCTACTTTAAAAAATTCCAAGAGTATATTTGATTATATCTTATTTCGATGATTATCATTCATAATAAAATAATATATTTATAAAAATATAATTAGATTCAGAAATTCTCTCAAAGTTATAGTTAAATATCGCATTTAATAATCGTGTGTAATAAAAGTATTACAGAAAGCTGTAATTTTATGGCAGTTTTGCAAAATTATTCAGAGTATTTTGATGGACTTTTCGGATCAGGTACTTCTCAAGATTCGTTTCTTAGGATTTGAAAGGGTGCTTCACTCATCGCAATGTGGACGCTAATAAAATATTGCCGAGTCGTACGCACGTGCATCATGCACACAGAAGCGAAACGGTTCGTTCGGTGTGGTAAATGCACCACGGTTGGGTAAGAACCCTGGTCTCGTATATGGGGAACGACAGAGGAGAGACAGCTGTGGGGCAGCTGGCAGCGCGTGCCATGAACCTATGGGGTCTCCTTCGAGCGCGGACGCGACGGACGATGATATCCTATATTCCGTCACACGTAAGTAACGGCAGGTTTCGAACAATGCGACGTTCCCGAGCTTCGTCTATCCTTCGCTCAAAGGGAACGTAGCTGGGCAGCTACGAATTATCGCTGCCTGGTTGCCTGCCCCCGGAAGCACCGTATAATAAAACTCCTTACAACAATTATTGTTTGCATAATGTGTATAAGAAGCACCATGGAACACTATTACTCTTCTTATTGATTTTCATAATCGTAAGGTCTTTACTGATGAGACATGAAATCTGTCTCTCTTTCTCAGTGAAGGATAATATAGTAAAATTCATGAAACTGTACATAGAAGAATTGCTTTTGTAGAAAAGTTATTTTAATTCAACAAAATTACAACAAATTTACATTTTTCCGAAATCATAAATTATATAACAAGTCTTTATAAGTTTGTTAAAAAGATACAATTTGTTAATATCTTATTGTTTCATGTATTTGATACTTAATGTACAAAAATAAAATTAACGTAAAGATTCTTGATATAGTTTAAAAAAATAAATCGTTCTACAATGCGGGATGCCGGATATCCTGCATTTTCTAATTCTAAGATAATATGCATTCATTTTCTGTTTGTATTGCATTTGCAATGTTCGTACAAGGCGCATTGAAAAGGTGCACTTTCCTCGTGAGTTTTTCATCGGCTCGAAAGAAAAAGGATCAGCGAGTTCAAAGCTTTCGGGGGAGAACGTTTCAGGCCAGCGAACATCTGCCGTCGTCTGCAACGATAATAATTCGAACAGCTGATGCTCGTCCGCGGACCACCGCCTCGCCTCGTAGATCCCTTAGAATCGCTTCGCTTTGTTATGCATTTTCGTAAGAGAAATTCTCGCGGAATAAAGGAAGACATTTCGATATTTTCGATCTTCTACTCTAATAAAACTCTTTTAATAATTACAGTTTTCATAATAAATGCTATATAAATATTCTCTCATTTATTAAGATGCATTTTCAATATATGAATTATGAAAAATTAATCTCATAAATATTAGTATTTTCTCTACGCAATAGTTTGTAATAATAATTCTAATTGTGATTTTATAAAATCTGCCTACCAATAAAAAAAAATAAATAAATTTTATAAATTTCATAAATCTATGTTCTATATAATAGAATAAATCATAAGTGAAAGTTTTGTGTTCGATACAGAAGCATGTAAATTAACAACAGACCAATTATGTAAATCGTCAAAGTTATGATGGAGACGCGTAAAAAATCTATAGAAAGTACAATACAAAAATATCCCAAAAGAGAAAAGATCGAACGATTTGTTCACGATTATGCCGAGTCCCTGTCGCGCACACGTGCTTCTCGGGACAATCGATCACTCGATAACAAGTCATTATCCTGCTATGCCCGCGAGAAATATCTCAAAATCAGCGTTGTCGAGTATCGCGTGAAAATACCGATCGGTCCCGCTTTTTGAATTTCAGCGCTCATGTTTCCTGGATATGGAGCTGCTTGCGTGCGCACGTATCCGTGCACGAGAGTGGGAATAGA